AGTATCATCATCATCATCATCATCATCATCATCATCATCATCATCATCAGCAGCAGCAGCAGCAGCAGCACCACCACCAGTATTATCACCATCAGTGTCAGCATCACCACCATCAGCATCATCGTCATCGTCATCGTCACCATCATCATCATGATCATCATCATCATCATCATCATCATCATCATCATCATCAGTATCGTCGTTGTCGTCGCCGGCGTCGTTGTCGTCGTCTTTATGACCATCACCATCGCAATCGTCAATCACCACCATCGTCATCAGCATCGTCATCGGCACCAGCCACCAGTCATCAACAGCTACCGCTACCAACCAGGATTACCAGCATCACCACCACGCATCATCACCACCATCGCACTCATCATCACCACCAAGCATCATCAGTCATTACCCACCACTAAGTACTAATCATAGTTATTATTGTCATCAGCACCGCCATCTACATCGATCGTCACTCACCACCACCAGCCATCATTCAGCAATCTTCAATGACCACTATCATTATCATCACCACAACCATCATCAGCGTCATCATCATCATCAGCGCCATTATCATGTCTACCACCGCCATCATCATCATCATCATCATCATCATCATCATCATCATCATCATCATCATCATCATCATCATCATGCTCATCATCATCATCATCATCATCATCATGCTCATCATCGTCATCATCATCATCATCATCATCATCATCATCATCATGATTATTATTATTATTATCATCAGCAGCAGCAGCATCATCATCATCATCACCATCATCCCTCTTCAAGGCTGCCTACGGCGCAGTCCTCTACGGCTACAACGTCGGTTGCGGCGGCGGAGCGTGGTCCTGCGACGCGCACTCCGGGCTGCCAGCGCAGTACCTGCCCCGGGAACGGTTGGGTCTCCTGAGCTTCGCGGTTGCGGGCGGCCTTTTGAGCTCCGCGCTCGCGCAGGCCTCGAGGGAAGAAAACATCGGCATCAACAAAGGAGGAGGAGGAGGAGGACGACGACGACGAGGAGGAGGACCAGGAGGAGCATGTGGAGGACCCTCCGCAAGCCAGAGATCCCCGCGCCCACAAACTTTGAGAGGTCCTCGCGGACTTCCCGGATCTGCGCCAGACCCCCCTGGCGGAGCCTCCCTTGGTGCGCTCCGCGCGCCAGAGGGGGGGGTGGGCCCAGCGCAGATCCGAGGAGGTCCGCGCGGACCTCCAGAAGCTCGCGCCGCTGCCGTTCCTTCAGCTGCCTTTCTCCTCTGAGGCTGCCGCGGTGCTGGGGCAGGCGCTGTGCGTGTGCGCGCTGGCCCTGGCGCTGCGCTTGCGCGGCGCTGGCGCGTGGCACGCGGCCTCCGCCGCGCCGCCGCGGGCGCCGCCGGGCTCGCCGCGGCGGGCGCTGCTGGCGGCCCGCTGGCTCGCTGCGTGCGGGCGGCCGGCGGCGGTGGCGCTGGTCCTCGCCGTGGCGCTGGGCGCCGCGTCGGCGGGCGAGCTGTCGCTGCTCGGACTCGGCCGCGAAGCTCGAGGGAGAAGCAGCTGAACAGGCATAAACTTTCGGAGCTCCGCGCGGATGTCCTGCATCGGCGCCGGGGCGCCCCCGGCGGCGCCTCCGGCGCCGCCCCCTGGCGCGCTCGGCGCGCCAGGGAGGGGAGTCCAGCGCAGACCGTCGAACATTGATGTCCATGCCGTTTTTTCTGCCTCCAGAAGAAGCGGGCGGGTCCTGTGGGAAACGTCCGCGGGCGACCTGCATGCACTGCACCGTGTTGGCGTCTCCCGCGGCGTCGTCGATCTTCGGCCCACGAGCGGTACGGTGCACATGTAGTCTTTTCGGCGGCCCTCTGGGCCGGAAAGCTGTGCACCGCACTGCGTTGGAGCGAGGTCCGAACGGAGCCCACACATGGCACGGTGCACGAGCGCCGTCCCCGCAAGAATGGCCTCGGAGGAGGAGCCATATTCCGATGCCGCAGCCCTGCCCTCGTCGCCGCGCCGCGGCTGGCTTCGCCTCCCAAATCCTGGCCAGAGCGCGCCCAGGGAGAGGTCTGCGGAGTGGCAGCATCGGTCACTGCTTGGTTTCCGCAGGGTCGTGGGCTTCTGCGCTGCCATCGGGCTCCCGGGGCGGGGCCCTCTGCGGGCTTCAGGAGGAAAAGAAACACACAGACACCGTCGATTCCCCAGAAAATATGGGAAAATATGGGAAGTGGGGGGGAAGACAGAAACCCAGAAAACATAGGAAAATATGGGGAATATCTTGATTCGTGTGTATTTATTTGTGTGTCCTTGGGCCCCTTCAGGGCTGCGGGGCCATTCGCAGAGCGGCTGGGTGCGAGGAGCTCTGGCCACGGGGGAGGGCCCCAGGCCCAGGGCCCCGTTGCCGCCAGGGCCCGCTCCCCGTGGCAAGGACTGGGCTACCTGGCGTGGTTCCTCTGCCTGGTCGCCCGCGCCTGCGCGGCGCCGCACGCGTCCGGCTGGGACGCCGGAGAAGAGAATCACCACTCACCAAACCACCCCAGCCCAACCCGAAGGCTTCAATTTGCCCTCCATTTCCAGTTGGGGGGGGGTCGGGAAACACTGAAATTCTCCCAGTGCGACCCTACCTAGGAGTTGGAGCATCTAGGAAAGCAACATCTACATCTACACCGACAGCTACATTGACATCTACACCTGCATCTACATCTAAGATGAAATAAGCTAAGCTAAGATGAGATAAGCAACGCTAAGCTAAGGGGACGTAACTGGGGGAACCGCCCGGGGCGGATACCGGGGGAACCGCCCGGGGCGATCAGCACTGCCCGGCCCTGTAAGCCCAGAGAGCAAGAACCCTTCTAGGCAGAGCCTAGGTATAGGGAAACACACATGGAACCCGTACCCCCCCCCAACCCGAAATTCGGGTCAGACTCGGGTCTTCGGGTTGGGTTGGGGTGGTCTGTCAGAGCCCCGAATCATCAGGGGTAGCTCGGGTCAGGGCTAACTCGGGTTCGTTTCTCGGGAATCCAAACCCGAGTTGCCCCGGGCCCGAGTTACCCCGGATAGCTCGGGCGCCCAGAGCCCCAAATCATCAGGGATAATTCGGGTCAGGGCTAACTCGGGTTCGTTTCTCGGGAATCCAGACCCGAGTTGCCCCGGGCCCGAGTTACCCCGGATAGCTCGGGCGCCCAAGTCTGGCAGGTCGGCCGAGCAGTCGGCACGGGCGGAGGCCTCCGGAGGTCCGCGCGGCTGCCCTTGGGATCGGCGCGGCGCCGCCCCTCGGCACGCTCCGCGCGCGCCGGGGGAGGGTGTGGTGCAGCGCCGGCCCGAGAGGTCCGTGCGGCCCCCCGAAGGCTTTCATTATAGGGGAACAACAAGTGGCATAAGCATAAAAGTCAGGAGAGGAAAAGAAACACACAGACACAAGTCATCGTCGATTCCCCAGAAAGTTTTGGAACATGTGGGAAGTGGGGGGGGGAAGACAGGAACCCAGAAGATATAGGAACATATGGGGAATCCTTTTATTTGTGTGTATTTATTTGTGTGTCCTTGGGCCCCTTCAAAAAACTCGGAGGTCCGCGCGGATTCCTCGGATCGGCGCTGGGGCCCCCCGGCGGCGCCTCCGGCGCCGCCCCGGGCGCGCTCCGAGTGCCAGGGAGGGGGGGGTCCAGCGCCGAGCCGAGAAATCCGCGCGGACCTCCGAGGTTTTATGTTTATGCCACTTTTTGTTCCCATATTCATGTTTGTGCAAACTTTGGCGGCGCGCAGAGGGGGGTAGGGGAGGGGGAAGGCTTCTTAGAAGCACCCCTGCTTCTTAGAAGGCGCGGGCCTTGTCCACAAATGTAAGGCCGGCGCCTTCTAAGAAGCAGCCTCCTTCTAAGAAGCCTTCCCCCCTCCCCCTACCCTCCTCTGCGCGCCGCCAAGAACTGCTCCCCTCTTGCAGGATGCCCTCGACGGGAGCCCGTTCTGGTGGCGCTGCCTCGTCTGCTACAGCTCCCTCACGGCGGTGCTCCTCTTCTGCTGGCAGGTGCGCGGCGCAGGTAAAAATGGGTTCGACGGTGCCGCGCGCAAGCTGCCCGCGTAAGGCCGCTTGCGAGCGCCCTCGCTTCCAGTGTACTCCAGATTTCGTAATAAAAGGGAGGAGGTCACAACCCTCCCAGACGAGAAGTTTTAGACCCTCCCAGACCATCCATGAAGGGGCGGCCCTTTGCCCAGACCCCCCCGAACACTCCAAGACAGCTCAAATCAGACCCCCCCCCAAATGTGACCCCCCCGACTTTATTATGGAATCCGGAGTAGCGTGCCGCGCTGGCGGCCCGCGTAAGCCACCGCGTAAGGTCGTTATGCCATCTCGTGTGCGGCCCGTTCCTTTTCGTCGCCCAGGTGTTGGCGGAGGAGGACGTCCCTCTCGCCGGGCTCGTGCGCGCCCGCAGCTCCTTCTCTGCGCGGCTCCTGCCGCACGTGGCGGCCTCGCTGCTGGCGTCGGTGCAGGTGCATGCCCAGCGGGCCGGCCTTCAGAGGCCCGGAGCCGTTCTTGCCGCTTCGGCGCCCGTGCCGATGCAGCTGCTCAGCGACTTTGGCGTGTTCGCGCAGATGCTCCTGGTCATCATGATCGTGAGGGCGCCGCCAGTTTCGATCTGGTCCTTCCTCTTACTGCTGCTGTTTGTCGCCCTGGTGACGGTAGAGCAGTCCGAAACATGGCGCAGCAATGTTCGCGAGCGCATTCTCTTGGCCACGGCGATGTACTGTATCGTGCAGCTGCCCGTCCGCTATCTTGGCTTGCTGCCTGGCGCAACGAAGTGGCTTGCATCTGTATTGCCTGGTGCAGCGTACAATGTGTTAGACTCGCTGATGGCCCTGGAGGGCCACGACAAGGAGTCGCGAGAGGAGATGGCTATGGTCGCGGCGCTGCTGGTACTATCGTCGTACCTGCTGTGCGGGCTGCGCTTCTACGGGGCAGGTGTGCTGGAGGTGGCCGGGAGGCCGTAGCAACAGACGGGAGATCTCCTCTGCATCCTCCCTTTCCCCCTCCTCCTGCTCCTCATGTTTTCCCTCCTCCTCCATCCTCGTCTGTATAAGCAACTCCCCCCTGCCACACCCCCAGACGTGTCGGTAGAGCGGGCCGGGCGTTTCGCTTGAGACTTCCTCATTGCTTCTGATGCTGAAGTTGGAGTTTCCATGTGTGTCACGGATGGAGGGCGATCCGTTTTCAAAATGTGGCTCTCGTCGTAGAGCCGCGCATATTTGTTCCAAACGCTTGCAGCAGGTTCGAGGATGGAGGGCGGTTCCTTTTCAAACTGTGGCTCTCGTCTCAGTGCCGCGCACACTCGTATTCAAAGTTTACAGCAGCTTCTGGGATTCTTCGAGTTGGAGTCCCAGGAATGGTGTTCTGGCACGATTTAGGGCTGTCAGGACGCAACAATCATGTTGACCCACTGTGTTGAAATCCCAGGAATGGTGTTCGGGCACGATTTAATATTGGCAGGGTGCAATCGTCACGTTGATTCTCGGCGCTGAAGTCCTAGGAATTGTGTTTTGGCGCGATTGATAAATCTCAGACGATCGTCTTACAATGGGGCACTTGAAGAAGGAACGTGGAGGGAGGGTTTATAGGCACTTCGTTGACGCATATTGGGTTTACAGTGGCCGTCCTTCTCCTCCTCCTCCTCCTCCTCGTCGTCGGCACTGATGTTGTTCGACCTCTTCTCGCGCAGGTCTCGAAGCCAGAGGGGCGGCACATCCTCTCTGGCAGGGGCGAGGGGGCTGCGCGCGCTCACCCTGCGCCGAGAGCACGCGCTACAGCATACCCGGAGCACCGGGCCCACCCCCTGGACGTCGAGCTTCGGTCCTGGAGGAGAGAGAAGCCCGGTATCCTGCACGGTTTGGGAAGGTGCGCGGGGCTTGGACAGTTCTGCCCTGTCCTCTCTCTGTCGGTTCCCATCGCTCCGCCAGGGCTGCTCGATCGCCCGCGCTACCCCGATTCGAGCAGGACGCTCTGGTGCTACCTGGGCTCGCCGCCTCCACGGATGGGAGCGGGGGACCCAGACCCCCGACGTCATGATTTTTTCAAGACGTCGACCCCCCGAGGTCCCGACCCATTCCCGAGGACCGGTTTTTCGTCCTGAGTCGTTTTTTGACGGTCCCGAGGGCCGGTAAGGGCCCCCAAAGCCCAAAAATAGAGAAAAACCTCCCGTCGTGATTTTTTCATACTTCGAGGGGGTCTGGGGAGAACGCCCCCAGGACGGGGGCGGGACCTCCGCGCAGAGCGCTCCCGATCCCCCCGGCGGTTTGGGCGCCTCTGGGCGGGCCGCTCGCGGCCGCCGCCCAGACCTTCGTGCCCCGATGGGGACCGCCCCCGCACCGAGGGCGGCCCCACGCCCCCCTTTGGGCGGAGAGCAGCGGGGCGGCAATGATCAGGAGGGGAAAACACACACACACAGACACACACACACAGACACACACACACACACACACACACACACACACGCACGCACGCACGCACACACACGCACACACGCACACGCACACACACGCACACACACGCACACACACACACACACGCACACACACACACACACACACACGCACACACACACACAGACACACACACACACAGACACACACACACACAGACACAATGAACCGTCGATGCCCAGGAAAATGCAGGAAAAATGGGAAGTGGGGGGGAAGACGAAAACCCAGAAAATATGTGAAAGTATGGGGAATCCTTTTATTTGTGTGTCCCAGGGCCCCTTCAAATGAGCCGAGAACAGAGCACGGCGGCAGAAGCAGAATTGCCCGGAGGTCCACGCGGATTCTCGGAATCGGCGCTGGGCTCCCTCGGCGGCGCCTCCAGCAGCGCCCCCGGCGCGCTCCGCGCGCCAGGGAAGGGCGTCCAGCGACGATGCAAGAGATCCGCGCGGACCTCCGAGCAATTCTGTGAATGTTTTTTTCTCTTGCTCCTCTGTAGAAGCGTGGGGCCGTGCCCTGTCTCCCTAATTAAAGCTGTGCGTAGCCCGCCTGCTTTTAGCGGAAGAGGTTCGCTCTCGCCCCGCAGATCAAAACATGTATAAGCGTGGGTGGATCTTGGGTTGCAGGAGCGTGGCCCTTTAAGGGGCCCGAAATGGCCGCATAAGCTGCCCTCCCGGGCCCAAGCGGCGCACAAAAGCTACAGCAGCTGGAGGCAGCGACAGCGCGCCGTCTCCGCTAGCTTCCTCTCGGCTCCGTGAAAACCAGCCGGGGCAGCCAGCGGGCGCTGAGCGGCCCTCCGGTGGATTGCAAAATTTGGCCATCTCGCCCCATCGACACAGTCGCCCCTTGCACAACGGGCATTGCGCACGTTTCCGCACTCCACGTTTATATGGCCCCCCTGCACCTACTCCGGCCGCCTGAGGCCCCGCCTTCCCGCGCCCTGTCTCCCTAATTAAAGCTGCGCGTAGCCCGCCTAGCTTTTAGCGGAAGAGGTTCGCTCTCGCCCCGCCGACCAAGAACAAAAAAAAAGTTTATATGGCCCCCCGTTCGCGAGCCCCCGGTCAACCTCTCTCTCGGCAGTGCCCGCCTGCAGTCCCCTGCGAGCGCGGATGCTGCTCGGCAGCGCGTGAGAGTGTCACCCTTCGCCGGAGATGCTGTTGGTGCGGGCGCACTCCCAGGCATGCTCGCGTCGTGGAGAAAACATGGCGGGAGGTCGTTGGCAATTCTCGGCTTCTGGGGGGGAAAACACGACGGAGGGTTGTTGGCTGCTTTCGGCCTCTGGGGGCCCTCTCGGGGCCCCGAGCCCGGCCCCGAGACACTCAGAAACCCGTCAAAAACCGGCTCGGGATGAAGTACCAGCCCTGGGGAGAGGGTCAAGAGTATTGGGGACCCCGCATGGAAACATCAAGACATCGCATGTCTGGGCTGGGGTCCCCAGATGGCTGACTGCGATGTGACGGCTGCGGCTTGCGCGCTTGGGTTTCCCCCCCCCCCCCCCCGCGTCCCCCTCGAATGTCGCACACCAGAGGTCACAGTCCTGCCCAGGGTCACTCTTGCGTGCGTGTCGCCGAACGTCCTGCTCATGAGCGCCGTCGAGTCCCCCTCCTGGCGGGGGGGAGGCCGGGCCAGGTCACGATGGCGAAAGGCCGATGGTCCTCAGGATGCGTATTCGCCCAAGTGTGCGTGTGTGCGTGCGTCTGTGTTTGTCCGCTTCAGCTCCGCCGATACCACGCAGGCTTGTGCTGGTCTTCATTGCCCCGCCTGCGTCGCACTGAAGGTCTTCGGTGGACAAGCAGAAGTTCACCACCCACCAAACCGCCCCAACCCAACCCGAAGGCCCAAATCTATCCTCGATTCCCAGTGGGGGGGGGTCGGGGAACCTTGAAAAAACACATGGAACCTGTACCCCCCCCAACCCGAAATTCGGGTCAAATTCGGGTCTTCGGGTTGGGTTGGGGTGGTCTGGTAGGTAGGCAGACGTGGGCGCTGGCGCGCGCTCTGAGGATCATCGGCAAGAGGGCGTGAGGCCGACGCTCGCTGGAGAGCGAGAAGCGGAGAGGACGCGCGTGCCTTTCCGCGCCGCCCGCCAGACAGATTAAGTCGGGCCTGTCCCCCTACAGGGGGGTACGTTCGACGACAAATAAGACATACCCCCTAAAATAGTCAAAAGATAGTCCAACAATAGTCTGGAGGATTGTCGACGAAAAGTTTTAAAAATACCCCCAAAGATACTCAAACAATAGTCCAAACATAGTCGGGGGACTATTTTTGAATATTGTTTGACTTTTAGGGCCATCTTTGGGGCATTTTTTGTTTATCGTCGAAAATCCCCCTGTAGGGAGGGGGACACGCCCAAGACGGCCTAACAACGTCCCAAGTGGGCCCCAACATGGGCCCAAGGGGAGGAATTCGAACTGTCCGTTTAAGTCGGGCCTGTCCTACAGGGGGATTTTCGACGACAAATAAAACATACCCCAAAAATAGTCAAAAAATAGTCCAAACATAGTCTGGGGGACTATTTTTGAATATTGTTTCACATTTTAGGGGCATTTCTGGGGTATTTTTCATGTGTCGTCGAAAATCCCCCCTGTAGGGAGGGGGACACGCCCGACTCAAAGAGAGGTGCCTTCCCCAGGCCCCCGACGCTGCGGCGCCGGAAGGGCGGGAGGGAGGGCGGGAGGGTGGCGCCTTCGCGGCGGGCCCTGGACACGGCAGGGGCCGTTTTTGTGACCAGTTCCATCTCGCCACTTTGTATGCTTCTTCCATTTTCGATCCTCCTCCTCCTCCTCCTCCTCCTACTCCTCCTCCTCCCCCTCCTCCTCCTCCTCCTCCTCCTCCTCCTCCTCTTCCCCCTCCTCCTCTTCCTCCCCCTCCTCTTCTTCCTCCTGAGGGACACTTTTTCAGAAACGGTGAGAGAAAAAAACGGCGCCGCCGCTTCCGGGGCCACTTAAGGGTGACGCCCGCCTTGACTTCGGATCCGCCGTGCTTTGGCGGATTGTCCGAGGCAGAATTGTGGCGGATATACCCCAAATGATGCAGACGAATCGGGCGGGAATTTCCGCCTCAGAAAAGTAAGGCGGATATTTCCGCAACGGTATGGCGGAGACAGCGACAGCAAAGTACGGCGGAACTCGGCATCAACGGAGCTTGACAGCTAGGGGGGGCGCTTTCCGCCCTACCTGCGAAGTCTCCCAAAGTCAGCGGAGGCCCGGCCCGGGTGGGCCCCGGCCCGAGGGCGCCAGGAAGCGCACCACGGCCGAGGCTTATGATGTCCCAACCTACTTCAGCCCTGATCATCGGAAAGGCTTTCGAGCGCCCAAAAAAGTACCGAAATTCAGGTTTTCACGTGTCGGGCCCAGTACCGAAATTCAGGTTTTCACGTGACGGGCCCTGGGAGACACTCGCCCGGCACTGTGTCGACACTCTTTCGACACTCTGTCGGCACTTTTCTGGGTGCTCGAGATGATTTCTGGGATGTGGCTCTCTTAAGCAGTACGAGCGGAGCAGCTCGAAATGATTTCTGGGATGTGGCTCTCTTAAGCAGGACGAGCGGAGCAGCAGAAGCCGAAGCCGAGGCCGGAGCCGAAGCGCGCGGGGAAGGAGCGGGCCCACCCTGCGGGCCCTTCGACGGCGCAGCGTTCTCGCAGGAGTAGTCCGAAAGCCCGAAGAAGGGAATGTAGGAATCTAGCCTAGATTCCAAAATTTAGGAATCTAGCCTAGATTCCAAAATTTAGGAATTTGAGGAATTTAGGGGTTTTTTCCCCTTTTCTAACCCTAGATTATCTAAGGTTAAAAGGGAACAAAAACCCCATGTTGAACGCACCGAGGGTTTTTTACGACGAGGTGGACTGAGCCTTGACACATCGGTTTTTGAGCCTTGGCACATCGGTTTTTACGCAGTGCCGGTTCCTCTGCGTGTGCCTGCGGGGGGTCGAGGCGCGCGCTCGGCCCCTCTGCGTGTGCCTGCGGGCCTTGCTCCTGCGCGGTCGCATCGGAGGAGGATTGTGGCCCTCGGCAAGGGGGCCGTCGACGCGAAGCCTGTCGGAAGGGGGTCCAGACTTCGAGCGGAGGTCCAGCGAGGAAGGGAGGAAGGAACGCCACGTGTCTGGAGCAGTTGTCAGACAGCGCGTGCGAAGGAGCAAGTCAGAGGTGTGAGGGTGCCGACCCCAGAGATGCCAGGTCAAGCGCTACGCCTCTTGGAGGCTCGCTGCTGGCCCCTCGTGGGGGCCCAAAGAATATACACCACCACCACGTCGATTCCCCCTCTCTCCTCTTTCCGGCGAGAGGGAGGTGGGGAGGGAGGTGGTGGTGGTGTATATTGTTGGGCCCCCCACCTCGGGTTGGCACCCTGAACAGTGTTGGCGACATGATTGAGGGATGCGAGTGATATCTTCGAGCACGCGCGGTCTGAGTGCCATGGCAGAGCATGGGTCAGTCTGGTGGAGAACTGTGCGCGAGGACGAGCACATCAACGAGCACCGAGCACGCCAGCACGGACACCGACACGAACGCCCGCATCGAGCTTCGAACAGCATAGGCAAGCAGCGGTTCCCGCAGCCGCGGAGCGAGCCTGCATGTGCAGACATCCGTTTCTAGACCCAGACCCGTCAGCGACGCCGCGCGTCGATTGAGGGCAGAAGGAGTGGCATATACGTAGTTAGTCGTGGTGGGGATTAGGTGACAGTGTGGTCGAGTGCATATCAGCACGTCGTCCGTTGCTGGCGCCCCATTGCACCAAATGTATAAGTTGCACCTGCCGCTGTCCGACACCCGCTGGTTGCTCGGAAATTTCCTCTTAAGTCTCATTTCCCCTGCTGCTCTTCGTTCTCCTTGCCTGACCGTGAGGTGGGCTCGGGCGATTACCTGGAGCGCACCTATCCAGTACTGGCGCGTGTTCTCGTAGAGGCTGCGCGCTGGTCCACACTGGTCTGCATGGTCGTGGCGTTCTGGCTCCTCTTTGCGCACAGAGACCTGCTCTCCAGGATCGCGTGCGCCTGTTGCGGCTTGCCGCCCGAAGGGAGGAACGGTGGCTTTGAGCCAGGTCGGGAGGACGGCCATGGCCTCGGGTGCTGTTATATGTGTTGTGTGTGTGTTTATCAGACGTGCTTCTTGCTCGTGGCAGCTTGCTCACTGAGAGGGAATAGCAGGGAGAAGACGAGGGAATGGCAGAACATGGTGACCAGAGGGAACCCCGCATCAGCGTATATGGTACTGAGCAGAGTATGCCATACATAACTGCTCTTGACGCTTCGCGTATCCACACCAGCCCATCCAGAAAGGATCCCCAGGCGAGTTGTGTTCATCATGGATGCGCAGTGAGACAACGAGACAACGAGGTGGGCAGCCGCCCTATCGCCTTGACAGTCCCCCGTCGTATAGTCTCTCGTACGCTGAAGTGCCTCGCACATGGGGGCGCCGCGAAGGCCTTCATGACCGACTCCTGCTGTCGGCAGCGGCGAGACGCGAAGACGCGGCCGCCTCCCCCGGCGGTCGCTGCCAAAGAGCGCTGTGCTGCAGGCGGCCGCTGCGATCGGACGGACGGCAACGGGGGGCAATCGACGAGGGGGGCCCGAGCGTGGCAGGAGCGCGGCCCTGCACGGTCCACCAAAACTGCCACCGCGGGCCCCAAAAGGCGCGCGAACGCTGCACGTGTCTTTGCAGTGCCGTTTTTTTTTTTTGATATATGCTCCGCGTGCGGATCACGTATTCAAAAAGGCAGGGATTTAGTATTAAAAACAACGATGCGTTCGTGCACACATGGATTCATGACTTGATCATGCATTTAAGAATCATATATGTTAAAATCCTACTTTGTATTCAAAACTGCCCTGCACCCACGTGGGTGGGCCTCAGCAGGAGACTCAGAAGCAACAGAGGGCTTCTCAGAGGGCCAGGGGCTTCCGAGAAGCCCCCGACGCCCTCCGAGGAGGCCTGCCACCTCGCACTTCCACCGTCGGCACACCGCCGATGCACGAGACTGCTAAGAGCGAGGTACAGTCGGGGCCCTGAACAAAAGGAACCCTTCTCGTTGGGGAGGGGATCCGCGTTCCTTAAGTGTTTCACAGCTTGCCTCAGGCTTTCCTTATGTTTTCGACAGGAAATCGAAGGTTAACTTATGGAAAAAAGGGGCCTCGTTCCTCATTTAGGGTTCGTTAGGTCAACGCCCCGACTGTAGTCAACCCCCACCGCCCAGATCCCCAGTTCTGCCCTTGAGCTCCTAACCTGCCCGTAAATGGCCACCGCGGGCCTAAAAGCGTGCGCGAACGCTGCACGCGTCGTCGCCCCGCGCTTGCTGCCCCCCTGTCAACGAAGACCCGATGCGAGCGAGGCACTCAACCCCCACTGCCCAGATCCCCAGCTCTGTCCTGGAGCCCCTAGCTCCTAACCTGCCCGTGCAAGGCCACCGCGGGCCCAAACAGTGCGCGAACGGTGCACGCGTCTTCGCTCCGCGTTTGTTGCCCCCCCGTCCACGAACACCCGATGCGAGCGAGGCATTCGAGCCCCATTGTCCCGCCGCCCCCTGAGAAGGCCTGCCGCCTCCGAGAAGGCCTGCCACCTCACCCCCCCCCCCTTCGGTTTTGGGGGCCCTGGCGGCTCTTCGGGGCGATCTGGGCACCCCTGGAACGCTCGGCGAGGCGCTGCGGGATGCGCATCCCGAGGTCGAGAACCAACGAAAACGCCCGAAAGACCGCTATGAGCGAGGTCGTCAAACCACACTGCCCAGATCCCCAAGTCTGCCCTTGAGCTCCTAACCTACCCCTCAGCGGCCGCCGCGGGCTTCAAAAGGTGCGCGAACATGGCACGCTTCTTCGCCCCACGCTTGATGCCCCTCCGTTAGCGAGCACCCGCTGCGAGCGAGGTCGTCCTCGGGATCGGCTGGCCCAATATAGTGAGGCCAGGCTAGGACAATTTGTCCAGGTGCTCTATCCTCTATCCCCGCCGTTGGCGAGCACCCGACACGGGCGAGGTCGCCAACCCCCGCTGCCCAGATCCCCAGGCCTGTCCTTGGGGCCCGCGGTGTCGCGTGCCGCCTGCCCGCGGAGGGGCGCGCGGCGCGGCGAGCGCCGGCGACCAGGGGCCAGCCTTTTCCGAAGGGGGCGTGCGAGGCGGTCCGCTCCGGCCTTACCTCCCTATGGAGCCGGCTCAGGGGAGTGGCTGCAGCACCCCTCAACGATGTGCTATCAACCAAACCTGCAGGGCGGGCCTTTTCCGTGTTGATTCGGGGGAGCGTAAGACCCGGGTTTGCCAGGACTCGGGTTCGGCCATCGTTTTTTGACGACCGCGCCTCGGATTTTGACGAGGAGGAGCTTCGTGGGATGTCTGCAGCGGGAGGCCTCGTCAAAATGCAGGCTCGGCCCCGTCATTTTTTTGACGACCTCGTCGGGGATTGCCGAGCCCCCTGTACCCAGGTCTTACGTCCCCCTGATTGATGTGCACTTCAGCTTTGGCTTCGGCCTCAGCTGTGGGTGCACCGTGATGCGCCTCCGGGCCAGCTCGCCCGAGTTGTAACGACCTCACCGCGCGGTGCATCACCGCATGGCAGGCCCCTATGTGCCGCCACGCTGGTTCCGGGCAGGCTGTGCTGTCCGGCGGAAGGGGACGAGGAGGGGAGAAGCAGGCAGACGACGGCGAACGCCCAGGCGGGAGGCCAGGGCCGGCGGGGCGGGCGGGCAGGCAGAAGACGGGCCAGGAGGAGACAGCAGGCAGGGAGCAGGCAGGGAGCAGGAGGAAGGACCCGAGTTGTGTTTGTTTCCGTTCCCACCGGGCGCCCCTAGATGGAGCCGGCCGGGGGGCCGGAGGTGGCCCGGCAGCGCTTCTGGTCAGCAGGAGAGGGGGGAGCAGGAGCGAGGTTCGTCATCGTCCTCCTCCTCCTCCTCCTCCTCCTTCTCCTCCTCCTACTCATATCGCTCCTCCTCCTCATCATCATCATCATCCTTCTCCTCCTTCTCCTTAGGTGCGGGAAGGTTTTTCGCCTTTTTCGGTCCCGGGGGGCCAGTTGGGGCCCCGGGACCATCAAATGCTGATCCCGGGGCAAAGACTTCAGCAGATGGATCACGGGTCTGCCTTGATCACGCCGTCGTGGCCGAATTGCTCTCTGCCCAACCAGCTCAGTCCCTCAGGCCGGCTCCTTCCCTCCCCTGGTTGTTGGCGGCGCGCCAAACGGGAACGTGAGAGGGAGCAGGCTTTTTCAGAAGGCGGCGGGTTCGAGGTTTTCGGGCGTTTTCTTTGTTCTCGGTGGTTTTCCAGCCTCGGGATGCCTGCTGAGACGATCCGTCTATGCCTTCGGAGAAGGCCCATTCACGATTCAGCTTCTCAGAGATTGAGTAGGGGATCGACTACATAATCGATTTACTCCAAAATTGTTTTTCGCCGAAACCATAAAGAATACGTGGAGTGTTCCATCGATCTACGGAGCATCCTGCGCATGTTTCGTGGATTTCGATGAGGCAATCAATTCCGGGGTGCATGAGCTTTGTAGTCGATCCCCTACTCAAAGAGAGCCGGAGGCCTTCCGAGCCTTGCGAGAAGGCCTGCACCCTCTGCCTTCCCCCAGCCCGCGCCGCCGAGATTCGGTCTGCGACCCCCTGCGAACGCTGCCAGCACTGGTCCCATCGACGCTGATCAGGCACCCTCGCCTGGGTTCACACGACTGCAGATATCCTTCAAGTCCTTTGGGCGTCGCGGAATGGGGGGGCGATACATTCACATCGAAATGGAAATCAAATTGCACCTATACAGCAAGTCGACATGCTAATCGACACGCCAGTCCAACTGCAATCGACACAAATCGAAATGCTAATTCCTCCCTCCCCCAACCTCCTTGTGAACCGAGGGGTGGTCTATCAGGCACCGTCTGGAGCACTTGGGAGCTTTGCCTTCGAGCCTCGCAAGCCCGCATTGCCCCGAGCTTGGAGGGACTGCGGATACAGCTGGTAGCCCTGCTGGTGCTGCTAGTTATTGGGCGCCAGTGGGATCGCGTTGGCAGCCTCGTAGCTGGCTGCTCCGTGGCCTCTCTGCTGGCGCAGTACGTCATCCGATTCGACTTTGTGGAGAGGCGCGTGGCGGATCATGCTCTTGCCCAGTTCATCGGGGTGACCTGGGACAGGACGCTCGCGCTGCACGAGTTTCTGCTTGCGTTCGTGGGCACAGCGGGGCTGAACAAACTACAAAATGTTTGAGGATGATTATGATGATGATGATGATGATGCTGCTGCTGCTGCTGATGCTGATGCTGATGCTGATGCTGATGCTGATGCTGATGCTGATGCTGATGCTGATGATGATGATGATGATGATGATGATGATGATGATGATGATGATGATGATGGTGATGGTGATGGTGATGGTGATGATGGTGATGGTGATGGTGATGGTGATGGTGATGGTGATGGTGATGGTGATGGTGATGATGGTGGCGGCGGTGGTGGTGAGGATGAGGATGTTGCTGATGCTGATGGCGGTGATGATGATGAGGATGATGATTATGGTGATGGGGAAGACGACGAGGATGGCAAGGATGAGGATCAGAATGAGGTCGAGTATCATGATGATGATCCTCATCATGAACATTATGATCATGGCCAGGATCATGGTAGTGCCAGGCAGTTGATGATGGTGGTGATGATGATGGTGCTGATGATGATGATGCTGATGATGATGAAGGCGATGATGATGATGATGATGATGATGATGATGATGATGATGATGATGATGATGATTACGATGACGAGGATGATGACGATGGCGGTGACAACGATGATGATGGTGATGATTATGCTGATGATGATGATGATGATGATGATGATGATGATTATGGAGATGATGAGGATGACGAGGATGATGAGGATGCTGATGAGGATCATGATGATGACGACGATGCTAATTATGATGAGGAGGAGGAGGATGCTGGTGCTGCTGCTGATGATGATGCTGATGATGATGATGATGACGATGTTTCATGATGGCGATGACGACGGTGAGGATGTGGATGAAGATGACAACGATGGTGATGGTGGTGATGATGATGATGGTGATAATGGTGGTGATGATGATGATGATGATGATGATGATGATGATGATGATGATGATGATGATGATGATGATGATGATGTTGAAGACAGCGACGACGAGGATGAGGTGAGAGGTAGGTGGATGTGGGAGGGTGAGGGAGATGACCCAGAGGCCCAACATCTTCCAAGAACCTTCCAAATTCGGGAGTAACCCTCCCACATGGGAGAAAACAGCTGCATCGAGTTTGAACCTCCATTTCGGAAGTTTTTGCGCCTCTGGGGAGGAGGCCAGTGCATCTGGGGAGGAGGCCGATGGGAGGAGAGCGCCCAACGACGTGGGCCATGCAGGCCCACCACCCCCTGGATTACAAAGTGGTGATCAGCACTCCACGAGGGCGGCGTGGAAAGCGGTTGAGTGTCTTTTTGCGAGGAAGGCCTAATCGGAATCCCCTCGCTCAGGTGGCATGAACAGCAATCATGAAATTCTTCGCGGGAGGAAATCCAAAAGCGACAGCGCAATGTTCTGCTGCGGTCCCATGTAGCTGTTTCTTATCAGATTGAAAGGGGGAGGGAGGAGGGAGGAGGGAGGAGGGAGGAGGGTGGAGGATGCATCAGGAACGTTGTCGCGGGCCCCGCGGCCGACCGGGAGCCCGGCCATGTCGTCCTCGAGCCCCGCCGTCAAATCCAGCGGGCTGACCGCCGCCAGCGCACATAACCATGCCATCACTAGCGCGACTCCAATAGAAAGTGACTTAGGGTTCTTTTGGCCGCGCCGTCGTCGGTTCACTTTCGGCAAAGGGGACTAACGGGTCGGGCGGCCGCGCCGTCGTCAGAATTCCCAACCCCTCCTCTTCGCTGCAATATCCCCGCAGTTCCCCAGGTGGCGGTCGTCAGTTTTTTGTGACCCTCTCTTAGTGGTGAGGGAGGTGTTTCCGTCAGTTTTGCGACCCCCCCCCTTCATTTTTTCCTGGTGAGTCCACGTCGTCGGTTCTGACGGTTCTTGGGTTTGATATTAATGATTCCCCCGTGATATCATGCCTTTTTCAAGTGGTGCCCATGATCTACATTAGCGCGCACATTATTCGTCTTGCGAGTGCGGTCGCTGCGTCGGAGTTCCTTTCGTTTTTTACAAGTACCCCCTGGGTTTAAAGTGGTGTTCGACACTCTACGAGGGCGGCATGGAAAGCGACTGGTCATCTTTTGCGAGGAAGTCCCAAGCGGAGTCGCCGCTCCCAGATGGCATGAGCAGCAGTCATAATATTCAAAGGGTGAGGGATGCATCAGAAATTCCGATATTGGCATTGCATCCAACATTGTCCGGAGCCTCCCTGGCCGGCCGAACGGGAGCACAGCCATGTTTTCCTCGATCCTCGCGGTCAGCACTTTTTGATCCAGCGGGTTGTAGGGCGAGGGTAAGTCGCATTAGAGCGTTCTGGAACGCTCCCAGAACGTTCTGGAGCGGTCTGGAATAGCCGCGGCGCCCTGTGCATCCTCCAGGCCCGCCCGCCCTCAGAGATTCCTGGCTCCTCTTCATCCGAACCCATCCGCACTTTGCCTTCGTCTTTCGGCCACGCGCAAGGGAGGCAGCCTCTTGGAAGGCGCGGGCCTTGTCTATAGATGTGAGGCCCGCGCCTTCCAAGACGCAGCCTCCTTCCAAGCACCCTTCCCCCCTCCCCCTACCCCCTTGTGCGCGCCGCCAGCCCTGACTCCGGATCCGCCCTACTTTGGGGAAATTCGTAAGTGGGGCTTGGAATATCCGCCTTGCTTTTCAAGCCCCGCTGATGCCAATTTCCGCCCTACTTTTCTGTTGCTGTTTCTGTGGATGTCCGCTCTATTTTATGTTGGGTGCAGCAGTTTCCGCCCTACTTTTTCGGCCTCTTATAGGTGGATTTCCGACGCAATTTTAAGTTGGAAAAAAAGCCGAAGTAGGGCGGATCCGGCGTCAGGGAGGTCTTCGCAGAAGTCTGGGCCCCACGCCTCCGACGTTGTCGACGCAGGTGCTGGAGCTCTCGAACCTCCTCTCGGGGGCGGCCCGTGCGCCCCGGGGCCGCTCCCCGGGAGCTTCCGGTGATCGAGCGCCCCCATGCTGGGGGTCGGGCCTCCGTTCTGGAGGCCTCCATGACTTCGAGGAGAGGATCGACTACAACATTGAGCGAACCAAAACTGAGATTACTTCAGTCGACTACGAAGATACGCATAACGCTTGTAGGTCCGCGAAGACTGTACGTTTTTCCCTAGCTTTGATTCGAATCCGAATTCGGGGGCAAATCATGTAGTCGATATTCTATTTCGAAGCATGGAGGAACCCCAAACTGTCGTCATGGAGGTCGGACCTCCATTCCCAAACCTATTCTATCCCTCAGCAGCTGGGATTTTCCTGCGCGTCGGAGGTTGGAGTGCGCCCCTGCTGGTCTTCGACCTCGCGCACTGCAGCCGCTGCCCCGGCCCCTGGGCGTGGCCGCGGCGCCGCCCCGTGCCCGCGGCCGGGGGTGTAGCACTGGCGAGGCCGCCCCCGGCTGCCCCGCTGCGGCCCCCGCCGCGTGAGCGCCCTCGTCTTTGCCCTCCTCCCGCGGCCGCTCCCCTCTGCCGTCCCCTGCCGCCCCCCCCCCATCCTCCTCCTCCTCCTCCTCCTCCTCCTCCTCCTCCTCCTCCTCCTCCTCCTCCTCCTCCTCCTCCTCCTCCTCTGCCATCCCCTGCCCCCCCCTTCTACCCTTTTCTGCCTCGGGGCAGTGCGCCGTGCTGCCACCCGGCTTGCCCGAGCGCGCGTGCGGACTACTTTTGCCGCGCGGCGACGCAAGAGGGTTCGGGTGCTCGCCCCCAGGCATCTGGCAGGCGGCGGCCCAGAGGGCCGCCGCCTGCTGCGCCCTGCGCCCCGCGACCCTGCTGACGGATGCGCAGCGCGGGCGCCTCGGGGCCCACTCCGCGCACGTCGGCGCGGCCCTGCTGCTGCTGGCCACGGCGTTGCACAATCAGGCAGCAGAGAGGGGAGGGCGTACGAGGGGGAGGAGGAGAGGAAGAGGAGGGGGGCCCTTGCCATGGGAGGGATCGGGGGTCTGTGGGATTGATGTTGGGGCGCGGTGGGAGGGGAATACCCTGCTGACGCCTACATATTCAATGCTTTATGCCCTCAAGGGCCTCTCTACCTTTCTGTGTCTCCTCGCACCTCCTGCTCCGCTTAGTCTGCATTCTGGTGCTTTTACGGGTTGCCGCTCACGGGTGCTACAGGCTTGCACCAAGAGTCCGCTCAACGTAAAAAAGAGGGAAGATGAATCATGAGGTCTGGGCGTGACAATGTGCTCACACCGGGCGTTTGCGCCCAGCGTCGGGCCCAGGGGCCATCGCAGATCGAGCCGACTCAAGATATGGCGCAGCTCGAAGGCTCCGGTCGTGGTTTTTGCGATGGAGGGAAGGGGATGGAGGAGAGGGGATGGAGTGAGGGAGGGAGGGAGGGAGGCGTGAGCGCCCCTATCGTTGGCACACGATGCAATCACCAAGCGGTTGCAAAGCGTGGCCATGGTGCTCGAAGGCCTCTGGGGCCTTGGTCGGTTGGCCCTAGACCGCCACGAATCACAGTGCGCGCCAGGCGTGGCACAACGAGCATGAGGAGGATGGATGATGACGCTGATGCTGATGCTGATGAGGATGATGCTGACGACGATGGCGATGATGACGACGACGATGGCAACAACGACGACAACGTGGAGGATGACGACGACGACGACGACGACGACGATGATGATGATGATGATGATGTTGATGATGATGATGATGATGATGATGATGGTGATGATGATGATGGTGATGATCATCACGATGATGAGTGTGATGATAAGGATAAGGATGAGGATAAGGATGAGGATGCTGCTGATGATGGCGATTATGATTGCGAGGGTGCTGATGATGATGTTGGTGATGGTGATGACGACGCTAGTAGTGGTGATGATGACGACCAAGATGCTGATGATGCTGATGATGGCGGTGCTGTTGGTGATGGCGGTGCTGACGTCGACGACGATGATGTTGGCGGTGATGATGGCGATCATGAGTGGGATCATATTCATGATAGTGGTGCTGATGATTGGTTTGATGATGATGCGTATGATGCTGATTATGGTGCTGATGATGATTGTGATGGCGATGATACTGATGCTGATGCTGATGCTGATGCTTATGATGATGGTGATGATGATGACGATTGCGATCGTGATGATGAGGATGTGGATGAGGATGAGGACGAGGATGCTGAGGATGATGGCGGTTATAATGGTGAGGGTGATGATGATGACGATGATGGTGACGGTGTTGGTGGTGGTGATGACAACGCTGGTGATGGTAATGCTGATGACGATGAGGGTGCTGATGATGCTGATGATGACGGTGCTGGCTGTGATGATGTTGTTGACGATGACGACGATGATGTTGGCGGTGATGATGATGGCGATCATGACCATGATACATTTTATGATGATGCTGAGGGTGATGATGCTTACGACGAAGATGAAAACGATGACGATGCTGTTGCTGCCACTACTGGGGGTGACGACCGCGACGATGGTGATGGTGGTATAGCTGATGACGATGATTACGACGATGGTCATGATACTGATGATGACAGTGCTGATAATGATCATGCTGCTGTTGTTCGTGATGATGATTATGATGATGGTGACGATGATGAGGATGATGACGATGATGGTAGTGTTGGCTGTGGTGATGATGGTGCTGGTGATGATGATGATGATGACGATGATGATGATGATAAGGATGATGATGATGATGATGGTGATGCTGATGATGATGGTGGTGGTGATGGCTATGTTGTTTGTTATCATGGCGATGACGATGCTGCTGCTGATGATGATGATGATGCTGCTGATGATGATCGTGATGATGATGATGATGATGATGATGATGATGATGATGATGATGATGATGATGATGATGACGACCAAGAGGAGGAAGAGAAGGATGATGATGAGGAGGAGGACACATGACGGACAAACGGAACATGAGAGGTGAGGGGCAGGAGCATGAACGACGAGGAGCAACCAGGGCTACGTAGGAAGAGAACGACGGGCGGAGGGGGCGAGCAGGAGGAGGAGGAGGAATTGTGGGGAGCAGGGTGGGTCGGTGGGCGGAAGGGAGGAGGAGGAGGAGGAGAGGAGGAGGAGGAGGAGGAGGGGGAGGAGGAAGACGAGGAAGAGGAAGATAGGGAGGATAAGGAGGAGGAGTAGTGAGGACGGTGGTGATGATGAGGAGGAGAAGGGGACAGGGGGGAGGAAGAGCAGGAGAAGGATGAGGACGAGGAGCCATACAAAGGATGGGGAGGGTAAGAAAGGGGAGGCAGGAAGGCGAGGATGGGACGGAGGAGGAGGAAGAGGACGTGGAGGAGGAGGAGGCGGAGGAAATGAGGAATACCCTTTCTTCTTTACGCTCCCCATATCTCCCCACGCCCATTGTTGAGCGAGGGCTCATCGGGAGCATGTGTAGTGCTGCCCAGGTATATTCTATACTGTATCTGGCCGTGGTTGCTGCGTTCGTGTTCACCGGGGACAGCTCCCACAAGCTCTCTCTGCCGCGTGCAAGCACATGGCTAGTGGTCATGGCGTCGGTGTTGGCTCTGGGCTTGCTGTACGATCTTGACTGCGAAAATTGGGACAAGCTGCCGCAAGGACTTCTGCAGCGATCCAGCTCCTCCTCTTCATCTAACCCCATCTTCATTCATCCAGCTCATCTTCTACAGCTTCTCCTTTTCATCCGCCTCCTCCCATCCATAATCTCCTTCTCCTCTCTCCCTCTTCCTTCTCCCTTCCTCCCTCCATCCTCTTCCCTCTTTCCTCCTCTTGCTCCTCCTCCTCCTCCCTTCTCTCTTCTCCTCCTCCTCTCCCTCCTCCTCCTTCTCTTCCTCTTCCTTCTCCCGCCTCGCCATCCCCCTTCTGCTCAGGATTCCCGCACAGGCCCACGAGCGGACAGCTGGCCGAATGGTGGACCTGCGGCTCGTACAGCGACGTGAACGCAACTGTATCAGGACGTGTCTGTGCTGACGGCGACGACCGAGGTGCGGAGGAGGGAGAGGTGATGATGATGCTGCTGGTGACGATGCTGGTGATGATGGTGGTGATGATGCTGATGATGATGATGGTGGTGGTGGTGATGCTGATGGTAATGCTGATGATGATGCTGATGGTGCCGATGCTGGTGATGACGATGCAGTTGGTGCTGCTGGCGGTGATGATGATGATGATGATGATGATGATGATGATGATGATGATGGTGGTGATGATGATGATGATGATGACGATGACGATGTTGATGCTGCCGATGATGCTGATGATGCTGTATGTGGTGATGATGATGCTGATGACGATGCTGCTGCTGCTGCTGAGGCTGATGATGCTGATGTTGATGATGGTACTACTAATTATGTCGATGATGATTATGTGTGCAGTGGTGATGGTGCTGGTGATGGTGATGGTGATAATGATGATGGTGATGATGATGATGCTGATGATGATGGTGATGATGATGATGATGCTGATGATGATGATGATGATGATGATGATGATGATGATGATGATGATGACGATGCAGGTGATGTTGATGCGGATGGTGATTCTGATGCTGGGGATGCTGCCGATGATGAGGAGGAGGAGGAGGACGAAGAGAACGAGGACCAGGGTGAACCCAGGATGCACCAACCAAGCTGCGACACTCGTCTAAAGTGGCCTGCTCATGTTGTCAGGAACTTTGGCCTGGCGTGTCACGCCGCCAGTTCTGGCCCTCCAAGGCCACTTGGACCCGTCGTGTATCAGTCTTGGGGCATATTGGAGCATGCTGGAAGCCACGTTGAGCGATCTGGTACCATTTTGATTTATGTGTGAGGCCATCTTTCTGGGGCCCTCTTGGAGGCATATCGGGCCGTCTTGGACGCTCCAACCCCTCCCCGCCCCCCACCCATGAGGGGGGTGAGTAAACCTCCCCCCGAAGGGGAAGAATGGGAAAGGATGGAAAGGGGAACCGCCTTAAACCACCTCAGCCCAGAGGGCTGGTGGGATTGTACTGTCTTCCTAAATTCTGACCCCACGCTCGCCCTGGAGATTCCAGGAGGCTTTTGGAGTCCCAAACAGGGCCCGAAAGAACAACACACTTACAAACCACATCCAGACACCGCCCTCCTCGATCCTATCCTCCTCCTCCTCCTCCTCCTCCTCCTCCTCCTCCTCCTCCACCTCCTCCTCCTCCTCCTCCTCCCTCCTCCCTCCCTCCTCCCTCCCTCCCTCCTCCTCCTCCTCCTCCTCCTCCTCCTCCTCCTCCCTCCTCCTCCTCCTCCTCCTCCTCCTCCTCCTCCTCCTCCTCCTCCTCCTCCTCCTCCTCCTCCTCCTCCTCCTCCTCCTCCCCTCCTCCTCCTCCTCCTCCTCCTCCTTCCTTCTCCTCCTCCTCCGACTGCTCTTCCTCACCCGTCCTATTCCTCATCCTCCTTCTCTTCCTCCTCCCTCCTCCTCCTCCTCCTCCTCCTCCTCCTCCTCCTCCTCACACCCATCATCATCCTCGTCGTCGTCATCATAATGAGCAGCAGCAGCTGCAGCAGAAGCATCATCATCACCGTCATCATAATCAGCATCAACATCATCATAAACATCAGCATCAGCATCAAGATCATCATTATCACCACCACCATCCTCATCATCATCACCAGCCTCATCAACATCCTCCTACCCCTCCTCCTCCTTATCCTCCTCCTCCTCCTCTTCCTCCTCCCTTCCTTCATCCCGTCCTCCCTTCCTCCTCACTTCCTCCCTTCCTCCCGCCCTCCCTTACTCCTCCTCCTCCTCCTCCTCCTCCTCCTTCTCTTCCTCCTCTTCCCTTCCTCCTCCTCCTTCTCCCTCCTCCCCTTTCTCCTCCTCCTCCTCCTCCTCTTCCTCCTACCCCTCCTCCTCCTCTTTTTCATTGGCCAAGCCTGAATCCTACGATTGTGTCGCTATTGAATGTAATTACTTGTTGTTATTGGTTAACAAAAGAGGAAAAAAAAGACTCGGGTCAAAAATACCTGGCGGGCGCCGCGGAAAATGTATGATACTGAGCGCAGGTGAAGACGCTTAGTGAGAGTAGGCGCCCGCCAGGAGTGACAACACTCACTTGAGTCTGATAGCACGAAAAGAAGGGTAAACAAATACCAAGTACAGCGACAGGTATACTAACAGCCTTAGATCAATGGTGAGCGCCGTGGTATTTGCCAAGGCAAGTGCAACGAGCGCCGTGCGTAAGAGAAAGGGAGGCACTGTGAGCAATTCTGGGGCTGCTGCCCAGGATTTAGGCGCACCCCGAACCGTAGTGCTTGCCCCCTCCAGCCCCAGGTAGTCCGCGTCCCACCCCGTCCCTCTTTGTTCTGGCAGCTCTTGGGATGGATTGCAATCCTTCGTTCAAGTGAGGGCGGGGGGGTCTTTTTTTTGCAATGGTTTTTTTGCAATGGTTTTTGTGCAATCCTCACTTGAACGAAGGATTGCAAAAAAAGTCCTTCGTCCCTTTTTGTTCTGGCAGCTCTTGGGATGCTGCCCGTGTTGCACCACATAGGTGCCGGACGGGCCATCGTAGAAAATGGCGTGCGGTGCTGGGGCAGCGGCGGAGGGTTTTGTGGGCGAGGCCCAACATATTACGGCGCGACGGCGAGGGAAGGGTCCCAGACCCCCTCGAGTTATGAAAAAATCACGACGGGAGGTGTTTCGCTATTTTTGGCCTTTGGGGGGCCCTTACCGGCCCTCGGGGCCGTCAAAAAACGACTCAGGACGAAAAACCGGTCCCGGGGAATGGGTCGAGACCTCGGGGGGTCGACGTCATGAAAAAATCATGACGTCGGGGGTCTTGGGTGTAGGTCGCATCAGAAAAAGTACAGTAGGGGTCTTGAAGAAGGAACCCTTTTCGTTGGGGAGGGGCTCCGCGTTCCTTAAGTGTTTCACAGCTTGCCTCAGGCTTTCCTCTAAGTTTGTTTTCCATAGGAAATCGAAGTTCAACTTATGGAAAAAAGGGGCCTCGTTCCTTATTTTGGGTTCCTTAGGTCAAGGCCCCGACTGTATTACGGCGCGACGGCGAGGGAAGGGTGCAGGTCGCATCCAAGAATCAGTAGGAGAGGAGAGGATACGAGGACAATGTGAGGCAAAAGGTGGCAGCTGCTGTGCGAAGTCCATGCTCGTGAGCAGGCAGGTTGCTCGTGCGCAGAATGTGGCACGGAATAGACGCCGGCAGGATGCACAACGGCCTACGGGCAGCGGGGGCCTTTGCTGGTAAACAACGGCCCTTTTTTCTAGCAGTCCTTGGGGTGCCGACCGTGTTTTAAGCTAAGTACATTCCTGGCCGTAGTAAAAGATGTACTCCAGATTTCGTAATAAAAGGGAGGGGGGGTCTCAACCCTCCCAGACAAGAAGTTTTAGACCCCCCCCCGTGGGAGAACCCTCCAAAACATCGTCCCCAGACCCCCCCAGGCCCTCCAAGATAGCCTGGAAGAGACCCCCCCCGAAATGAGACCCCCCTCCCTTTATTACGAAATCTGGAGTATCGGTAATGCTGCTGCATAAACTAAGTTCACGGGTGGCAATGGTAAAATCTAACGGCTTCCAATGCTGGAGCTGCGTCCCAGGGTTTTGTAGGCGTACCCCAAGCCTGTTATTGAGGGAGGAGCCACCAGCTTGTCGGACAGCGCGTCGGAGAAAAGAAGGATGTAGTCGCATCAGCGGAGGAGGGCAATACTCGAACATATGATGTGAGGCCAAGGGTAGCAGCTGCTGATGCGCACGGCACACAAAAGAATCGACTGGTCGTAGTAAGAAGGTGGCTTGCAATACTAGGGCTGCCACCCAGGGTTTCGTAGGCGTACCCCACACCTATGGCTGAAGTCAGGAGCCGTCAGCGTGTCGGACAGCGCGACGGAGAAAAGAAGGGTGTAAGTCGCATCAGTGGAGGACGATGTGAGGGCAAGGGTGGCAGCTGCTGGTGTGCAAAATCCGCACTCGTGGGCAAATTGCTCCCGCGTAGGGTGTGGCACGTAAAAAGTCGACCTGTGCAAGGGCCCGTTAGTAGCGGGGGCCTATGTTGTAAACGCTTGGCAATGCTTGGGCGGCAACCCAGGTTTTTATAGGCGTACCCCAAACCTGTGGTGTGGCTCAAGTCTGTCTGCAGAGCGGGGTCAGACTGTTGGGGACCCAAGTGCGCACTGTGTGCGATTGTGAAAGGAGGGTATCCCGTGTCAGTGCCCCTCAAAGGTGACTAGCAATATTGGGGCTCCGACCCAGGGCTTCTAAGGCGTACCCCAAACCTGCAGGAAGATGTGAGGGCCACCAGCGTGCCAGATCCGCGACAGCGAAAAGACGGGGTGCAGTGCGCATCAGAGACGAGAGTAAGAGGACGAGCTGATGACGCAAGGCAAAAAAGGCTGCTCGCGCGCAAGGTCCGTGCTCGTGGGCAGATTGCTCTCTCGTAGGCTGTGGCACAGAAAGAGGCCGGCTTGATGCACAGCACCCCATTAGTGGTGGGCTTATGTTGCCAAGTGCGCACGGTGTGCGGCTGTAAAAGGAGGGTCGCTTGTATCAGGGTCCCTCACAGTGGCCAGCAATACCAGGGCTGCGACCCAGGGTTTTGTAGGAGTACCCCCAAACCTACATTAGGGAGTGAGGCGCCACCAGCGTGTCGGTACCGCGACAAGAGGAAGGGGGTGTAGTGCGCATCCGTGGGAATTGGGACGTCACGGGAGGAGACGCCTAAGTGTACGTGGCTGCGCATTGTGCATCGGCAAAGCTCAGTTGTAGTCCTCCTGCTGTAGCAGAAGAGGTAGTGGAGGTGAATGTCGTGGTGGCCTAATACCATGCTTGATTATTACATGGCTTGATATGTATCAGTACAGCTCGTCGGCTTGGGTTTGGGTGGGACCTTGTGTAGTCGTGCAATATGTTTGGGAGGTTCTTTGAACGGTGGCCCGTGTGGATGGTCGTGGAGGCTGTCGGTGTAGATCTCGTATCGCGACTGATGCGAGCGGAGTCTGTCGATGTAGTTATCGAATGTCGGGCCGGC